GCTAGAGGTCAGTCTTTACTGTAACTGCTCGAGATCAGTACCCACTCTAAATGCTATAGGTCAGTTCCTTATTATAATTGCAAGAGATCAGTTCCTACACTTACTGCTAGAGATTCAGGTACCCGGTCTAAATGCTAGAGGACTGTCCCTACTTTATCTGCTAGAGGTGAGTCCCTACTTTTTCTGCTAGAGGTGAGTCCCTATTCTACCTGCTAGATGTTAGCCCCTTACTCTTACTGCTAGAGATCAATCCCTACTCAAGCTGCTAGAGGTCAGTCCCTTTCTCCAACTGCTAAAGATATGTCCCTACTCTAACTGCTACAGGTCAGTCCCTACTCTAATTGCTAGAGATCAGCTCTTACTCTAAATGTGAGAGGTCAGTCCCTTACTCTAATTGGTAGAGGTCAGTCCCGTACTGTAACTGCAAGAGGTCAGTCCCTTTCTCTAAATGCTAGAGGTCAGTCCCATAATTTACTATAGAGATCAGACCTTACTCTAACTGCTAGAGGTCAATCCATACTCTATTTGCTAGAGATCACTCCCTATTCTGACTGCTAGATTTCAGTCTCTATCTAACTGCTAAAACTTATTCTCTACTCTAACAACTAGGGGTCAGCCCTCACTCTAACTGCAAGAGATCAGTCCCTACTCTGATGCCTACAGATCATCCCTTATTTTAACTGCCAGAGATCCATCCCTTCCTTTAATTGCTAGAGATCAGTTCCTTACACTAACTGCTTGAGGTCAGTCTCTACTCTCACTGCTAGAGGTCAGTCCTTTACTCTAACTGCTAAAGATTTGTCCATTCTCTAATTGCTAGAGGTCTGTCCATACTCTAACTGCTAGAGATCAGTCCCTACTCCAACTGCCAGAGGTCACTCACATACTCTATCTGCTAAAGATCAGCCCCTAATCTACCTCATAGAGATCAGTCCCTAATACTTACTGCAAAATGTCATTCCCTATTCAAAATTATAGAGGTCAGTTCCTACTCTAAATGCTAGAAGCCAGTCTCTACTCTCACTGCTTGAGGTCAGTCTATACTCTACCTGCTAGAGGTCAGTTCCTTACTCTAACTGCTAGAGGTCATTTCCTTTCTCTTACTGCTAAAGATCAGTCCCTACTCTAGCTGCTAGAGGTCTCTCCCTACTCTCACTGCTAGAGGTCAGTTTCTTATTTTAAATGCTAGAGATCGGTCCCTATGCTAACTGCTAAGGATTGATCCCTAGTCTACATGCTAGAGGACTGTCACTTCTTTAACTGCTAGTGGTCTATCCTTTTTACCAGTGGTGGACCAATTTTAGGGGGTGCATGACGGGCACACCCGTCATGTGCCCCCTAAAATTGCTGAAATCAAGCTAAAACATAGTTTCTTCTTTGAACAGAAATGATTCATTATACAAAGGGTTCTATTTCTACATTCTTGCACAACAGGAACATCTCAGGGCTTGACTACTAATTGCTTTGATTCCACAGACCTTAAAATATTTTAAGTTTTATTCTCATCAGTAAAAATGATGATAAATAGTAAAACTGTCCACTTAGAAAACAACAATTTTTCACTACAAAATCTCTAGAATCCAGGAGCTTTGCCCCATGGGTCCCAACTACAGCTTAGCCCTGGGCCAACTGGGGGCCTCAAGGCAGCCCCTAACTCCCTTTCTAATCAGTTGGTGCCCCCTCTATATTCAAATCCTAGATGACTGCCCCTGTTAACTGCAAGGTTTATGCTTAAATAATCCCTGCAATTAGCTGAATTTTAAGAGATATCTAGCCAATTTATTATCTGTATTGATTTCCAGCAAAGTCCTTATGATCTAAGTTACAAGAGCTACCTGCTTACAAGATCTGCATCATTTTCAAATAATACAATATCAATGTACTTTGTGTTGGTCAATACAGTGCACTAGTTGACCTCCTATATCCAATTTCAAGGATCCAATGGAAGAACTCCATCACTATTCTGCATGATGGAAACTACAAACACTACAATTATCTTTCCAAAAAGCAATCAATCTTTGGAGAGGTTCACTTTAACTCTGATATTGAGAGCTAGGCATTAAAGAAGGGAATACAGTGAACATCAATTAGTGTTGTCACTGTGGCACTCGGCAAAATCCCCTCTATTGCAACTTGGGAGATCTTGGCAGAAAGGAAATCCGCTTATGTCACTGTAGACAACAGACATATACAAAATGGTGGTGGTAGGGTTCAACATTGTTGGCTGTTGAAACATTTTTTGAAATTCAAATATACATTTCTTTTCTTTTTGTTTTTCTTCAAAAAATCAACTTTTTTTTACTTTCTACAAATATTTATATAAAAACCAACAAATCTTAAATTGCAGCGTAACTCTAATATTCCTAGGCCAATACTTGATACATTTGAACAATTTTAGATTATTACAAGAAGTCAGGGGAAAGACCGGATCTTATAAACATTCCTTTGAAAAATCATTCACTTAATTTTATGCATTTAATGAAAGAAGTTTCCAATTATCTATAGTATGTGCAACAGGATAAGAATGCAACCACTTCTCAATGGAATCAAACATGCACAAATCAAGATCTCATTCACTTGCAGAGTGCATTAGCAAATAATTGCAAAATCTCATCAATGAAAGAAAAGCACCAGCATATTACTCGATTTCCTCCAACTAAACGATCCGACACACCCCCTGACGTAAAACATTTAAAAGATGTACGCTAATCAGACATTGATTTCATGTTTTATGAGTCTAGGTTTCTTTTTTGTGAGAGAAGATAAATGTTTATATTATACAATACCCTGTGTTCCATATATATTTACCATACAATTAATTACAGGCCGAGTCAAGAGATTCTGACATACTGACAATTATAGACACCATTTAAGGACACATGGAAATTGGATTCTGATGAAACATTACAGAAGATTATAAGAAACAACTATTCTGTGAAAGCGATGAATGTTTACACACTTTGAGCAGCTTTTGTTGTGTACATAAAATCAAGTTCTTACGTACTTGTTCACAATAGAAGTTGCAGAGAAATATGCAAACACTTAAAAAACTGCACAAAAACAAATGCAGGAACTTTTCAAGATTCATAGCATACAGTGGCATTTTGTGAACTTGAGTTTACTGATGTTAGTTTTCAAATACAATTTATCAATTCATGTTTTTTGATCAATTTTTATGCACTCCAGAACTGAATAATTTTTTTAGTCTTTTCTTGGCATTTCTTACACACTCTCACACACAAAATAATGAGAAATAAAGAAAAGAACCTCAGAGGCAAGTCAAGTTTCAGCATGGAAACTTTATCTGAAAAATATGAATCTTTTCTTAAAGCTTTGTTCCCCAAAGTTAGGAATCCCCCTAAATATTGGAAGAAAACAATGATCCAAGTAATTTCTCTGTATGAAGCTCAATTTCATTTTACATTTTAATTTTCAAATTGAAAGAGAAAATCGGAACAATGATACATTGAGAGAAAGTAATTGATATTATAGTTTTCATTTTTAAATTATCGACTGTTTAAAAAAATTAAATGTAATGCTTTCCTAAAACCTACCCATTGAAAGTTCAATTCAACATTTTTTTTCTCTTTCTCCATTAGAATTTCTTTATTCACGGTACCCCTCTTCCCAACATTTTTCTTTCAACCACAAAATGTCTATGAAAAATCAAGTTAAAAGCTCCACTTGCAATAACTTGGGTCCCCCACTTGTTAGAATGATTAGCACCTGTTTCAGCCCTTAAACTTCACCAATAACTTCACATTCTCCTTGCAGAGAATGCCAAACCACATTGATAATCCTGCTTACACAAACTTTTTTGCAATATTCAAATAAATGGTGTCAATTAGCTTTACTTGTGTGCAAACTTTCATCCATCTTTTCTGTATGATTTTACCCATTTCTGGGGTTTTGGAACTCTTTGCGATTTCTGATGGCTCTTAACTTCTAAAACATGACTTTCAAATGTCAGCCTAGAACATTTTTCAAGGTCTCACCTAAATTTCATAAAAAAGACTTAACAATAATGTTTGTTCAAGTGAAATTCTGAAGATTCTGATTGTTTTCAAGTGTAATGGCACAAATATTGGACATCTATTTAAAAAATAAATAAATAAATGATATAATTAATATTGCTGTAGGCTGGCATCATTACCCTTTATTATGCAAGTCTTCCTAAAATAGAAGACACCACTCCCAAAAAGAAAACAAAAATAGGAATTGTAGGAAATGGGAATTTAATAAATTTGAAATAAATCCTACAGATAATTTCAGAGGTAGAAAAATTGATCTAATAAATCATTTACTCAATGGATAAAATATATACAACTTTTTCCCTCAAGTTCAAAAACTTGATCAAACAATGTTGCTTAATTAAATTAATCTCAGACACAACAAATATTAAATATCTTAGGGACCAATTTCTGTCAATGATTATGAAAAGTGCTGAAACAGTATTTTATTATCATTTTTGACCATTTGTTTCTACAAAAAATGAAAATAACCTTAAACATGGCCATTTTACTTCTCAGTTTTATAACTGTAATATGTATGGCAATTTTCTTCATTTGTTGTGTCTAATCAAGCATTTGAACTCACACATGTACATCTAGATTGCTAATACAAATATCACATTTTCATATACAAAGCATTTTTAACAAGGCAATTTAACAACAAATTTAATATCTTAATAAAAATTCAGGAAACTTTCTCTCACACATCTTTACAAGATACACCTATCTGCAAATACTATATATGATATAGTTTAATTAAAACAGCAGAGTCTGGTAACACATGCATGTATGGAAGCCTAGAGTATTTGGGATGTCTCTCTCGTTTATAAAATTTTAACTGTCATAATTTTAATTAAGAATTAATGATGCAAGTCAATGTTTGGATGAGAAAGGGTAAAAAATCATACATTACTATGCAAATGCATTAAAAATACCCTTGTCTGAAAACAAGTATATGAAGATTACAATTGGTAATGGTAAGAAGACATCTTTCTAAAATACAGTTCAATTTACCTTTTTTGGAAACAAATTTAAATTGGAACATGACTAATTATAAAAAAAAATCCAGATTTTGTCAGCAAGAGATACTATATATCAACATATCAATTGGATGTAAGTACAATCAATCCTCATTATCTTGAACTTAATGGAATAAAAAAAGAGGACATATCCAAGGATTCCAGACACATCGGTTAAAATACTCCGAGAAAAAATAATTGAGACTTCCATCTCACTTCGACATATCCATGGTATTTGAGTTTTCAACTAATGTTCGATATACTGACATTCAACTGTAATTAGGATAGGGCAAGGTGTTTCTGGTTGACCATCTAGTTTTTTGGTTTTATGATGTGATCAAACAGTTTGCACATGTGATAATTTGCATAAACACTGTAGGTGTTTATGCATAAAATTATTACATGAGCACTAAACTGTTTTATCATCACTCCCTAAATTTACATTTTTTGCTCAATAAAAAAAGGAGATATTTACATTATTTTTCTCAATATAATTAGAAATTCAAGTCTGCAAGCCACACCCAGTGTATTACTAGGCCACATACAGCAAGGAGGCTGTTCTAGCCGTCATGTCACATGATGAACAAATAGCTTTATGGAGATGTAAAGCTATTTCCTTATTTGACTGTAGCTTTATCTTGAGACAGACAAAGAGTCTCTTACTTTTTTGGTGTATATGCATATTGCAATATGTTACCAGACTCTGACAATTTTCAGCAGTTTTACAGCAGCAGAAAAATTAATGCTTCTGCATCACTCATTTCATCTTAATGAAAATAGATCTTACAATAATTAACAAATCACAACAATTAATAAGAATGCCAATCAATCTAACCTCATAACATTCAAACATTTATATCACAAATGTAGTAATAAAAAATAATTCCATTTCTCCAACAAATGAACTATGAACATCATACAGCCATACCATATTATACATAATAATACGTAATGTATCAATTAATCATCAGTGACAAATTAATTCTTAATAAACAACAGTGCAAGTAACAGTCACAATATTTATTTCTTGATTATGGAATATGCATGAAGTTTTTACATAATTTTATATCTACATGTTTCTGAATATATAATTATGTTAATTTCTACTCATTTTTATCGGTAAAATTATGATTGAATATTACAAAATACATTGATGCTTTATCAGCCACATTTTCTAGCTATCAAGCAAGAAAAATCACAAAGTAACAAAAGGCTTTCACTTCTGCATTTAATTAAATCAAAATCAACTGTTTTATAGGCTTAAAAAATGGAATTTTTCTTGATGGAACATTTCGTATTCACATGAACACTCTGCGCAACCAACCAAGAAAGATGGCTGCTCATACTCAGAATCATGGTCATAACAACGTTTTAATCTAATGGCAGATTGCACCATTATCTGACACCAGAAACCCACAAAATCACCAGGATTAGGGAACAGAATGTCATTAGCAAAGTTCCATCACTTTCCCTTCCTGGGGCTGAATTAGAAAAATCGTAGCCTGAACTTGTACAGTTATAAGGATCCTCTGGAATATGACCAGAGGGACACTTGCATAAGTATGACCCCACTGTGTTTTCACAAATGGTTTGACCATTACAATGGTGACCATATTTTCCTCCTTTTGTTAGGCATTCATCAACATCTGAAATGCGAAAATACCTTTGGTGAATGTTTGAGTCAATTGCAACCAAATTTAATAGGCAAGTGAACCTGAAATATTGTGTAACTTGGCGATGTTAGTTTTAAATCAGATTATGTCACTCTCTCAACTCGTATTTCTTTTTCTTTTTTTTTTTTTTTTTAGAAAAAAGGGGGGTTCAATATTTAAACATGCATATTATTAGAAATTTTATTAAAACCTTTGGAAATATTTCTTAATTCTTTTCAAAATATCTTTATTTACTTAATTCCCATACATCTGCAATAAATTACTTTTTTTGAAGGTTGTTTCACAAGGTCACCCAGAAAGTAACTGGCTTAAATTAAAATGTCTCAGCTAGCACATGTACAATTTCAAATATTATCTTAATATTCCCAAAAACTCAGCACTGTACCTGCGTTAATACACAAAAAGAATGAGCATTAGCACATTTTTATCTAAAACCTTTGGAATTATAACTCTACACATCATTTTTTTGCTCGGATAATATATGAACCACTTTCATCTCAAAACTGTATTAAATCAGTTTATCTTTTAAGCCACCATTCAGACTGGTGATACTCCTATATCCTTTTCTCCTTGAAATAACTGCTACCAGTGGGACTGAAATTAGTAGCGATAATTTCCCTATTAAAACTCAATGGGGCTAGTCTCATTCTTCTTGTGGTTTGGGAATATTCTCATTGACAGTGAAACCATGGTGAGAAACAGATAGTTATCTGTGGTAATGTAATAAATTTGATTGCTTATCCAACCAGAGGTGAATGGTTTGCAGTGGGAACCACTGCCTTCAGAAACTTCAATGCCCATTCAGTAGACATTCAGTCGAAAAAAAAAAAATTGCAAAACTTGATCACACAGTTATTAATTCTTTATTTCTTTGTTGTACACCCATCCTCAATCAGTTCATCCCTTTTTCTACATGTGACCTTCAAACAGAAGAGTTGCACTGGCCATATAAATATATCAGCTCCTATCGTTATATTAAAAGGTCTTGGGATAGCAACAAAAAGGGGGAATTGGAAGTCAATCAGAACATTTCATCAACAATTTTGATTCTAGATATATCTTTATTTTTTTTAACAAGGTTATACTCAGTGTGGTTAAAAACCAATCTTAAAATCCTACATCTTGGATATATATCAAAGACAGAGGAAATCCAGTAATTTTGGCAATCTTCAATATTCTTAGAATCATACTGACCTACATTTTAACCATTTGGCATGCATTATGGGAGGTGAGGCTGCTACAAAAGTGTGAAAAACTTAGTGAAGGAAATTTATTGTTGTAATTTAATAAAAACCCAATATCTTACTGGCAGACAGTCTAAATTTCCTACTGGCTGTCTGCACCGAATATTGTTATTTAATATCATACACAGTGAAAGTTCAGGCTCTGATTGATATGAAGTGGTGTGTAACATATTTTACATGGTAGAGTGCATATACATCATAAAAAGTTACAGCTTTCAATTTCTTAATTATGATCTCGAGTCGGATTCACGTTAAAAGTTTCTGAACCTTAAAACAAAGTTCAGAATTTGATCATAATAATAAGGGTTTATGTAGAGACTGCAATACCTCTTGTTTCTTTTACCTTTATCATACATGTACATTGAACCCTGTCTAATCTGACATGCACTGGGAGACAAATTTTGTGTCGGAATAAATAGGCTGTTGGATTACACAGTGTAAAGAATACAGAAAATAGAAAAATTGGAATGACAATATAGGTCAGAATTCACAGTAAAACGGATTGCACAGATGTTGGATTAAAAAGTTTTCACTGTATTATATTTTCACCAATTCCTAAGTATTTTTTATAAAGTAATTGTTAAAATGCATATTTTCAGGTTACACTATTTGTAAACGGAACACTTGTCTTAAAAATAATTTCAATAAAATTGCTAAAGATGTTGGGTTTTGAATAATTTACCTTCACAATGGACACCATCACCACGGTAACCCGGTAAACACTGACAGGCAAACCTGGTTGACAAGTTAATGCAGGATGCATTTGAGTGGCAATTGTTGCCAAGGCCACAGAAATCTGTACCTATTGGAATAGAACCAAACACAAATCAAATATAATACACACATTAATTCATGTAAAAATGTTTATTATCTGCATATAAATATGATTTACCAACAATGTACTAATGGATACACAAATAATTTGCACTACAAATGTATAGAAAATGTTTCTCTTGCTCGAGATTACACATATTATCAGTGCACTGGTGAGCATAATTTGATTTCTCTGCAAGTAATCTAGTGCAAACCATCTTAAAAACCTTTCTTTGAAGTCTAAATGTACTTTCAAAGAAAAATATTGAAAAATGATTTGTTTTGTTTGTAAAATGCATGTTCTAGCTACTATATAATGGTCAATTGGTCTCCCAATAAATTATATACCTAACGACCCCCTAATATTCCCCAAAAGTATTGATCCCCATTTATACAGACTTCTTATAACCAGATATGAGTCATGTTTCCTTGACATTGTCTGCCTTCACTTAAAAGCCTGGGCAACATGACACATTTCTCTTCCTTTTGGTTTGGACAGACAGTCTTACATCAGTTTATTAGTCCCATGAGGAACTGAGCTGTTAAGTGATGCTAGCAGATGGAGATTCCATCATATAATCATGTAAAATGTTCACTTGGGGGAAGATCAGAGAAAGCACAAAATAGGAATAACTTTTGAGAATAAAGCTTTTTTATAGTGTTCATATTGTGAGAAAGATGTTAATTCCTAAATTTAAATTGCAGTAATAATTATAGATTGCTACCAGAAGTAAATTTATAAAGGGCAACACTGAAGATTAATTTACATTTGTTTTGATTAAAACTGAACCTTTTTTATGCTCATTTCTAAATGAAATTAATTAATTAACAAATAATAATAATAATATGGCTATGTGGTTTAAATTTTGCTGTAACTTTATTACTAAAAACTTCATATCAAGGTGCTGGATCATTCTGTGTGAACTATATGCTACACTAATACTAACAAACCCAAGGCTCTCTGAAGATCATTCTTGGTTTTCATTCAATGTCAGAATTTATCACCAACAAATTCAATTGACTGAAAAGCTGTAAATCCAATACAGATTACCCATCTCCAATAGTTATTAGAATTTGATGAACTCTGACTGACTTTTTCATCCATGGAGCAAAAAAGTTCACATGCTCCTGAGAAAAATCTTCAAAGGAAATGCATTAACACCCCAACTATCTGATAATCTCCCAACCTTTTAGACAGCTCGGATCTTCTCCGTGTCAATAAATCTCTTTTGCAAAGCAAGTCTGTCTAAATTCTGATGGACAATAATAAACTCAAGCAAACCACCAAAGGATCTATTAAATATGGCAATATTGCCCTGCAAAGTGTCAAATCAAATTCCTGCAATTCGTACAGTGAGTCATTTTCAGCATAAGGGACTGAATAGAATAATGGGGATTCCAAAAGAGACTGATAGTCTAGACTATGACATAACCAAATGTCTCAAAACCTGAACAAGAACTGCAGATGCAGCCACTCTGCATGCATAATAGTGAGAAAATTGAATCAAAATTTGATGACTAACTATAAAAAGCTATGAGCTTCTGAAGAAAGAAGGGTAGATTTTTTGGTAAAATGACTATGTCAAAGAATGGTCTATGTTTATTAAATCTGTCAGAGATTGCAAATTTTGCAAGAGAAAATGAATAAATAACAGTTGTGACTAATGCCAAAATTGTGAATTTCCAGTAAATGACTGCCTGAGAAATCCCAAGATTATATTTATAGTCTTTATAGTCCTCCAATAAAGGACTTGATGATATCATAGCAAAGACTCAGCATCTGAAAATGTCATTATGTTCTTCAAAACTGTCAAGGCATATCTTAGCAACAGATTCCCCCAAAAACTTTTTTATAGTTTGGAGAGAAAAAGACTTCCTTTTCCCTATCCAGCCTTGCAGCCTCTGAATGGTTATTTATATCCCCACCACTTGGACTTACCCTTACAAACTGGGCAGCACTCCCCCTCGATGTGCAGTCTTTTCTCTTCAGGACAATTCAGATTGGGACAGCTAACCTCTAGGTCCATCTTCTCACACTCCATATTGCCATCCTAAAGTACCAGGAAAAAAAAATAATACATTAAAGCTTACATATGTCTTTATTATCTCCACACACACAAGAGTCAAGGAAGCAGCTATAAAGGAAAGTAAAGGACTCATATGAATAAAAAAAAATGATTAAAATGTACACAAATTAATGTACACCTTGTGGACAGAAAATTAAAGTTTGCAAAATATGTAATATATTGGGTAAAATAGCTGGCTTGTTTTGCCTCTCTGATATTACAATGAAGAGTAAAGGGCGTACTGATCTGATAATGCATGAAGGTTCATCATGGATTAATTAATATAGACCAAAATTTTTCTGATTGTGATTTTTATAAGATATATGTTGATTGAAACCAGTTATCATAATTCAAAATTTTTAAAAAAATAGACATCTAAAAGACAAAACAAAGACCAAAATAACAAGCACTTAACCCTCTTTAAGGAGGTTTTGACTTGTATTACATAATTCTTCACTCAAAGTACACATATAAAAGCATTCCTTCCACAAATGTGTATGTCACTGTGGCACATGGTCTTTTGAATCCAAAAGTAGCTCTTTGTATGAACAAAGCACATATCACTAGGTTCTTCTCATTGTTAGAAAATTTAGAATCGAGGAATTTCTTTTTATTTCACTTTGGAAAAGAGGAAATCCAACTTTGATTGAAGAGCTGTAATCTGTATATCTATATACATTGAGATACAAGGCACTCTTACAATATCAATGATTTAGGTTTGAAGATACAGGAAGAAAATTCCTTAAATATCATAATTTATGTTTTAACTTGTTGTTTTCACCACACAAAGCTAACTTCACTTTCATATTCTTTTTACTTACATAAGAGTGAAAAGCAAAGATGTGTTTATTTTCATACGCAACACCTGGCCTCTGTATTATCACTTAAGTATATGTAAAAAGTAATTCCCCCTTTTAATATCACTTCACAGACCATTTTCTAATTAGAAAAGTAGATATACTAGAGATGAAAATTATCAAACAACTTCAACATCTTTCACAAAAGGTGTCCAGAACAGCTGTTTGTTTGCAGGAAACAGGTTTCCTTTTTCTGGATAAAATATTTCCACGTTTCTTCTTATATTTCAAAATTTTCTTAATTAATAATTACGTCATAATGGAACTGGAGATCAAAAGATGAGAATTAATTTTTCAAATCTTCAAAATCACATAAAAAAATATATCAGAAAGCACAGGAAATGTATTCTGATTAGATTGTTTCCTTTGAATTTTTATTTTTATTACAGTATTTACGTAAATACAATCAAACATATCTCAAATATTGTAATAACAGAATATCTGGATAGTTACCATTTAGTAATATACAACAAAGTCTTGCCCCTTAATTCATAATCCTGAGAGTGCCCAAATATTTTTTTTTTATTGAAAGTTTACTAAGACATAGGATCTAACCTGTTTTTGGTCAGTTGGGATAATTTTACATTACACTGTATATGTAAAGGTGGAAAAAACTTGCATTACATGAATAGTGACATATATATCCACTAGATATATATAGAACAAAAACTTACATTAAGTGTATATGTTACAAAAACTAACATGTAGAGGTAACAAAAACTTATATCACATGTACAAGTAACAAAATTTACATGTACAAGTGAGACAGAATTGCAATACATGTACAAGTGACACAAACTTATGGTGTATGCAAAGGTGATACAGACTTACATAACAAGTACAAGTGACACAGAGTTACATTACATGGATAGGTGATGGATAAGTGTTGCAATTGCAGACTTACAGTACATGTAAAGGTGACACAGACTTACAGTACAAGTATAGGTGACACATAGTTACATGTACATAGGTGACACAGACTTACAGTACAAGTAAAGGTGACACAGACTTACAGTACAAGTAAAGGTGACACAGACTTACAGTACATGTATAGGTGACGCAGACTTACAGTACATGTATAGGTGTACATGTATAGTTGACACAGACTTACAGTAATGTATTGGTGACAAAGACTTCAAGTACTTGTATAGGTGACACAGACTTACAGTACATGTATAGGTGACAAGACTTACAGTACAAGTAAAGGTGACACAGACTTACAGTACATGTATAGGTGACACAGACTTACAGTACATGTATAGGTGTACATGTATAGTTGACACAGACTTACAGTAATGTATTGGTGACAAAGACTTCAAGTACTTGTATAGGTGGCACAGACTTACAGTACATGTGTAGGTGACACAGACTTATAGTACATGTATAGGTGACACAGACTTACAGTACAAGTAAAGGTGACACAGACTTACAGTACATGTATAGGTGACACAGACTTACAGTACAAGTATAAGTGACACAGACTTACAGTACAAGTATAGGTGACACAGACTTACAGTACATGTATAGGTGACACAGACTTACAGTACAAGTATAGGTGACACAGACTTACAGTACATGTATAGGTGACACATAGTTAAATGTTCATAGGTGACACAGACTTACAAAACATGTATAGGTGATGCAGTTACATGTACAGGTGATGCAGACTTGCATTACATGTACAAGTGACATTGATTTACATTTCATGTAAAAGTGAGGCAGACTTACATGCAATGGTGATAGGTTTACATGTACAAGTGACACAGACTTGCATTACATGTACAAGTAAGACAGACTTGCATTACATGTACAAGTGACACAGACTTACATTACATGTAAAGGTGACACAGAATTACAATACATTTACAGGTGACACAGACATACATTACATGTGCAGGTGACACACACTTTTATTACATGTACAGTTGACACATATTTTCATTACAAGTGACACAGACTTACAATACATGTACAAGTGACACAGGCTTAAATTACATGTGCAGATGACATAGACCTACATTACATGTACGGGTGACACAGACTTACATTACATGTATGAGTGACACAGACTTACATTACATGTACAAGTGACATAGACTTACATTACATGTGCAGGTGACACACAATTTTGGACTGACACTCTCTCCATGATGGTAATACTTCCCATCGAAGTAACAGTTGGCTGTAAAAAAGAAAATACATCAATTCAAATTGTACCAATTACATTTATTTCTGACAAAAAGTAGTGATATATATCAGTCTGTAATTTGCTTCACTTTCGACCAATAACCATAATCAAGTCTTAAAAGAGCTAAATGTATGAAGAAACAAGGCTAATGTGTCTAGACTCTTTATTGACCTATTTGAAACCTTTTATTAATATTTCGAATTTTCTGTATTTTCTGCAAATGTACTGCTAAATGTGATGTTATATTTGTTGCACATTGACAGACTTGGCAGCGCGATGCGTCTGTACAGGTGCCTCGTGTAGGGCTATGAATGAACACAATAGATAACAGTCTAGTGACGTCAGCCCAATCACAGCTGCAGCTCTCCCGCCTTCTAAACCAACACAGTGTAGCAATACCTTACTGCTAGTCTTGATTATACACTTTACTATTATATGTACCACCTTGTAGAGTTAGATCTGATGAAGGAATTTTTTTAATAAAAGATTTGGCAATAGAAAAAATTGTGGTAAAAGGATTTTATGTGTAGGGAGGGTTGGTTGGTCTAAGTATATAACATTTAAACTGAGACAATTAAAGTTTGCAAAGAATATTCAAGGCTTTTTTGTACTAGCACTACCGTATTTTGTCCATTTGTTTGTCTGCCTACAATTTAAGTACGTATGTACTAATCTTAATTATTTTAAGATCTATAGAAATAATAGTTGTTTTCAGATCAGGTAGTTCACAATAATTTGATTGTATGAATGCATAATATTCTGTCAGACAGCAGAAAAACAAGAAATAATCAAAATTTAAAAAAATAAGAAAAATTCTTTGTATTCCCAATTCTCTTTTATGTCTATGTGTGTGTTTGTGTATTTTTTAAGTATAAAATCAATTATTCATATAAAATCAATTGCTGAGCAAAGCACCAAACCAATAACTTGGAAATATCTTACTTGATGATATTTTATTCTTCTCAGCTATATATCTTAATCTCTGACAGAAAATAACAGCTATTCTCTCAAAAAATAAATTATTCATAAAAAAAACATGACTTTATGGCCATCACTACTGTACAATCTCCATTACTCTTCACCAACAATTCAACATCATTTCCTGCCTTTTCACTCATTTTACTACGTTTTTTACAAGTGCTCCCCAGAAAGAACAAAAGATACTGGAATTATACATTACGACCTTTCCTACATAACATCGACATAAAATGTAATTTTACTGACAGCTAAAACTGTTGTAAACTGAAAATATATGATTCCTCCGAATGCCCATCATTTTCTTATATATTACACAACTGTGGGTGGTAACAGGGGGAAATAATGATGAATACCTATTGTGAGGGTTAAAATCTATGTGAAAACACTCAAATTTTAGTGTGGCGGTTCCACAAGCAGATGTCAAAAACTCGATAAGGACGTGCAAGAAAAGTCGTAAACTTTACGAGTGGCATAAAATATATTTATGATAAATTATATTATTTTTTTCTCAAAAGTTTGTAACATTATGTAATAATCTGACTGGGGAAAAATATTTTGCTGTACAGCCATGCATTCATTGCAAAATCATCCTAAATTTGAAGCGTGCTTACTGCTCATATTCTTTCATTAATTACACTTATATCATAGGGAACTGTGCATGAGCACTGCATTAAAATATTTTTCCACAGCCTTTATATAAATTCCTTATTTTTATCAGTATTTTCCTCATTCTTTGAATAAAATTCTGCCAGAAATTGTCACTCTTCACTGAAGAAGAAACGATAATAAAATGGTGTTTATATTCTGGAGATAACAAAATGAAACTTCAGAGTAATTTATTTTGACACACTTCATATCCTAGAGACTAAAACTGCCTTCCTTTATTTAATTTTTCCTTAATTCTTTCAACATGTTCTGTTTGAAGAAGTCTTTGAAAAACTGCTCATCAAAATTAGGGAACAAAGATTTTTAATCTTCTGTAGTTCCAGCATAGTCATAAAATCCTTACTCTTATAAAAATCAAAGCTTTGGAATTTTCATTTGTCATTTTTCACTCAATTTATGATGTATATATGTTCTCTTTGTACACCCAGCTAATCAAAACAGAATTTATCAACAGTAAAGAAAAAAGTAAAAATTCTGTAAATAAGTGTAACATGAAAAAAAGTCATGTAAATGTAGGCTAAAATTAATCTGAAATGGAATTATTATTGTAACAATGCTCATGAAGTACACTTAATATCAAATGTACATCTATTAGAATATGATGCTTATCTGCTTTCATATGAACCTCTGTCATATATATGCTCATGTGAACATAAATCATATCAATTGAAACAAGAAAACATTGATGTAACCATCAATTGTCGCCCGGGAAATAAATAAAGTAAACAATGGAAATGAGTCTTGATCATCAAACTGCTTCGATATGTGTGAAAAAGGCATGCGTCTAAATGATGGAGACGATAGTCGAGAATATTTTAAAAACTTATAGTCGGATGAAAATCGAACAAAAACGATACACTTTAAGAATATAAAACACGAACTGTGTAAAGTACGTTTTTACGTTTATATGCGATAAGTAAAATTCGATGTTCTAAAAAAAGGGACCTGTCGTTTTTTCGATAGTAAATGATAAGCAACTTTATATATTAAATATGAAAAACATATATATTTTTACAGATTCACTTTATGGAAGTAAATATATTGTGTATCTCGTAATTTATAAAGGGAAAGAACATTCTGATTAACAATCTTTTTAATGTTTAGAAAACCTTTAATTCTGAATAACTTCTCCCACCTCAATCCCCATATACTAACACTTAAACTTATATGTATAGAGCAGCCCGGTCCTCCGGGCTGCAATAATTATGAATGCATTCAATTAAAATATCTCACAATGTGCAAAGTTTGTGTATGTTTTGCACTTTCTTACTCTGAAATGACAAAAATGTCCCCCCTTGCATTCAGTATTCACAGTCAAACTCAAGTGAACTTGATGACAACTCAACTTATTAATACAGATCGAGACATGTACTTACTCAAATAGATAGGGCAGCAACTTCCTTCCTTTACATAATGTGAAATCAAGTAACACCTCTACCTACTCAGAATGAGCTCATCATTGTGTTCATATGATAACACTCATGTGAACCTCTATCAACTCATACAGCACCTGTTCTTCATATACTGTCTTTTCCTATGCACAGTTTTCAAAATCATGTGAAATATATAATTTTATATGAACTCGTGTGACCTCTACTTCTCCCTGTAAACATGGCAGTGAAGCTGTGACAACTCTGAGGACACCTGTACTTACTCATACATAGAGGGCAGCACTTTCCTTCTATGTATACAGGGTGATCACAGGGGGCAGGGAGGCAGTCAGTCTTCCTACACTGTACAGTCCCATTCTGAAACATACAGTAAGACTTTACTTATCTACATATTAGAAACATACGAGATACAAATGCCAAAAGAAGCATACAAAATAATGCTTCATTGTTGTGATGTGCATTCTATGGAAAGCAATTTGATTTGAACATACCGTATAACGGGTATTTTCTGCGGTTGGAAATTTTTGCGATTTAACCCCTAAATGATAGCAAATTAATTTCTGCGTTTTCAATTTCTGCGGTTGCATTATACCGCAAAAAAATATATACTGGGTATGATCACCAAATTCTAAGAATTATCAGATAGCTGCCATGTTTACGTTTTATAAATTCATTGAGGCATATTGATCAAAGGTGCATGAGAACTGGTATTAAGCTATTTCGCTTAATTAAACTACTATCTTTTAGTTAGTCTTTGTACAATTATGTCGAGTCCCAATTGAAATGAATTATTACAGTATCAGTCCACCCAAACAACAATAAAAATCTTTATTCTACATTGTAACAAACGTTTTATGCAATCTATTAAAATATTTAAATATATAGATAATTAATGCATCCAAGCCATATTCTAAAAATACACTTATAGTTAATTGCCATCAAAATTAACCTGGTGTTTATATTTTAAGCTCAAACAAACAGTTGCATAATCAGGTAACCTAAAGTTGACCGTATACAATCACAGGTGCCATGTGCAATGAGGCGTAACTAATCCTGTCAGTCGTCTGCATTGAGTGAAATTCACGAGACAATCAAGCCACATTGTGTATACAAGCAGTAATTATGGTCTCAAGATAAAACACAAGATTGAAAAAAAGTGTTAAAGAAAGAAAGAAAAGCTAATATGTGTTGTTTGCAGCTATCGGAGTTTGGGCGAATAATTGCGAAATCTCTTTTAGTCATTTACATGTAGGCCTACATGCATATCCGTATAAAATAAAGAAATAGGTACAAGAAAAGATCTTTTGTATAAAATTATGAAATTGATATCATTTACAGGACCGTTTTGATTCAATATGTTTTGGACAAATCCTGAGTGACATCTAAAATCTTCGACTTTCGATGACACCCGAATATTCTCGCTAACGAGGACGTGTCCACTCATGAGTCTGCGGACGCATCGTTTTTAAGAACCTTGCATCCCAAATAATTTTGCTGCGTCCAGTACGCAGCTTCTTGCGTTTATGAGAATCCTGTGACATACGCACAACTTATTATAATTGCGTGTATAAAATATATATCTGAAGAAATATTGAAAAATATTTTGCGATTGTAATTTTTGCGGATTTGTCCTATCCGCAAAATTCCGCAAAAATTGGACAACCGCAGAAAATACCCGTTATACGGTATTTCATTATGTAAAAAAAAAAACACAAGTAGATTGGGTAGCAGGCTTTGCCTATATGAGCCCTCTCCATAATGTACATTCTATGGAAAGCAAAAACTTAGAGAACTAATCAACCCCTCTCTCTATATATAAAAATTTTATAATCATTTATGGCTCAAAAGTTTTCATAAAGTCTAAAAAGAACTATGACTCGAAAACAAAATTGTAATTTTTTATTAAGATGAGGTGCCAATGAAAGGTAAAAATAAAGTCTACGCAGAGGAACTGTCTGAAGAATCTAAATGAAGCTTATTGACTCAATTTTTCCTGATGTAATATGGTGCAAATCTATTTCTTGATGCATCCTGGAATTTAAATATACTCACAAAATTACTACAAACAATTTTTTTATTTCCAGATGTTAAACAAAATTTTTCAATATTTACACTAAGCAGGCAAAAAATCTAGCACTTTTATTTTCTGGCCCCAATTCAACATATGTCAAACAAGTGATTTTTGAACAAAATACATAATATCTCTAAACACACAGAATTTGCCAAAACATCATTTGTTTATATTGCTTTTATCGGTCAGTGAACCCAAGCTCTGTCCAATACAGAAATCGTTTCCCAACTTTTTCAGATCAAAGTAAATCAATAGCTTTATTCCCATCCTTGAACCCATAAGCCATTGTAGAAAGAGAAAAGAGGGCATGTTCATGTTTGAAAGGAGAGGAATGAGGCGTATGAATGGGATCTTTAAACTAAAACTATCAGCAACTACATGAAGCATCTAATATGTGCAGTGAATGAGCAAAATCTATGAATAATGCCCCTAAGAATTTTTTTTAAACATTTTAATACAGTACAAAAATTGTTCCCTCCCACCTTTTTTCCACAACCTTCATTGAGCTTACCTTACAGTCACAGAGCGTGCACTGGTCAGGGTGCCAAACCTCCCCCTCCTTTTTGGACGTCCCATTGTAGCGACAACCTTTATGACATTCACACTGCTCTAGTTCTTTGATCCTCTTCTCTGCTCTCTGGAGCTAAAAAATCAAGACAACTTTGTCAGGAAGTGACATAAAAAATGTTCTTTATGAGATTATAAAGAAGTTGCCAGTACTAGACAACAACACAAGACAAAAACTAAAAACCTGCCATACAGTGGCAACTACAATCTGCAACATAAATATACAGATGCATTAAAATGACCACTTTCCATAAGCAAAGCAACTCATTAAATTAATACATTTTTTGTTAAATAGCACTGTAAATGATTTTTCTTTCATTTTTTTTTTTAAACTAGTATTTTTTAACATAAGATAGATTTTTCATGTTACAAATGTCAATTTTCCTTTTACTTTATACAGCAAACCATACTGATGTGAATTAGAGACCTTTCATGTACTATGAAAATTTAATACATACATTTACAGTATGATAAAATCATATGTGAAAATGTATATATGACATAATGCAAGAAATCACATCTATAAATAAATAAGAAACCAAATGATCAATTAAGTATTAAGAAGACCTATAATGACCTGAGCTCTTTTGAAGATGGAGGTAATATTCTCCTTCAAAACTAGTGAGGTCATCATGGTTCAAAACAGAACAAAACCCATTGATGAATGTCAAAATAAACAACAGCGACATGCAAGCAAGGGGATTTGTTCACCTCAACCCTACCTTTAATAAAAGATTTTGGTTTAAGGAATACATTAATTTAACCTGTTCTTCTAATGCTTGATACTGTGAACATGTTGGGCAATCTGAAAAATAAAATAAAATGGATTAATCATCTAAAATGAAATATTAAAATTGTACACAACTTTTTTTTTTTTTTAAGAATTACCCAATAAGAAGTTCTTGGTTGTTACAATGGGTGATTTACAAACATCCCAATAAAATACAGTCAAATCTCATTATCTCGAACTCCATGGGATCAAGAAAAAACTTTGAGATATCTGAGGATTCGAGATATCAAGGGTAAAATACTTAAAAGAATACATGGTTGGGACTTCCAAATCACTTTGACATATCCATGGTATTTGAGATATCAGTGTTCGAAATACTGTAGTTCAACTGTATCTAAGATAAAAATGCTTTAAGTATAAATTAGGCAAGGCTTTAACTTTTTATTTACAAACCTGTTTCTTGATTTGGACATTGTAAAACATATCCATGAGCTTGTGTGACTATTTGTACATCTTGTAATCCCCCCTGCAAAAACAGAAGAAAATCTATAACATATTACAGTTAAACCTTGTTATTTCAAACTTGATGGGACAAAGGGAAAACCTCAAGATGTCCAACAGTTTGAGATATTGAGGATTAAATACATAGAGGAAAGGGGGTTAGAACTTCTTAATGACTGTAACATATCCACGGTATTTGAGACATTTGTTGCTCAGGATACCGAAGTTCAATTACATCGTTTAAGACATTCTAAAATCTGTCAACGATGTAAATTCCATTGCACTACTGCACTTAACTAAAATTACTTTTAAATTTTTAAAATAAAAATTACTTTTGCATATCATGCGAAATCTTTTTTTTTATTTCGAAATATATATCATTGATTTAATAAGATTTTGCTGTTAAATAAATAGTAGCCCATTAGAATATAAGCCGTAGGGATTATTAGTATATGGTAAGTGGGAGAGCTAAGGTCTTTTGATACAAGTATTTGTATATACATGTATCATAAATGACACAATAATTAGAACAACCTTAGAAACTGTTACAAAATATATACTTTATAATAGTTTTGTTATAACAAAAAATGTGATGTACATTGACAAGTCATCACTATCTTGAGAATAAGCAAGGGCTTTTTAACGATTACAGATATGTTTTTGATTTGGATGCAACACTTGCTCATAATCCTTCTTGAACATAGAAAAAAAATTACAGTTCTCTTCAATGAGATATAAAAATGAGAGGAAAAAACAGTTTTCACAAACAATAATTATGAACAAAACACTCTAGCAAGATTTTTTTCCCTAATTCCATCAATTGTTAATGGGTTCTAGAAATTGCAATGTCTGCTCTTGGTACAACCTTAAACTAAAGGCTGTAAACAACATATTTAAAAGATCTCTTGCATATCTTGCTTGTCTTAAGATGTATCACCCATGCCGGTTAAAAAATAGATTGTTTTATGTCAAAGACAATTTGAAATATTGCCACTGCTTGGCAAATAAATGCGATTCTGAATGAAGAGGGAGAGCGTTTTCTAAGTTTATGTCTTTTTTTCCAGACAGATATTTGCATCACGTTTTAAGGTGATCCCGACATTCTTCGTTCACACTTCACTAACCTTGAACACTTAGCAGTCAAGAATTCCAAGAGTCATGAGGTACCATATTCTCTTTAAATTAATCTAAAACCTAGCATTTTTTCACCAATGTGAATTTGAAGATGGTGTGATCTTTCTTTTTTTGAAAAAAAAAAAAGCCCACAAAAAATTGCTCATGAGATAAAATTCAAACCATCATTCATAGTTAGCAAACCTGTTTCCAGCGATTGTAACTCTCTGTAGTTCTAAGCCAGCTCTAACAAGAGATAAATAAAGATTATTTGGGATACCCTTCCATGACCTTTTTCCAAGGCCTACCTTTTCCTAGTACTGCATTGATGCTCAACAATATCTATAACTTATGAGTTAATTGCATTATTAGATACAGCAATATGAAAGCATAAACCATTGACCAACTACACATATGTTTCCTATTGCCCTTCCCTCTATATTCTCTATGTGCTTTGATAAAAACATTAACAGTTTGTTTGTTTGTTTTGGTGACCTTATTAGGACAGCTACATTTATTTTTTATTGCAGTTCTCATCATATTAATTTAAACCTATTGTGTCACTTAAATGAAATACTTTATTTAAAAAAATTGATGTTTAATGTGTTTATAATAATTATCTTAGCAATGTTTTCTTTATAAGGTTATATATTTAATATATACTTACCCTAAATAATGCATGTTGCCTGTTTCGCTGACCCACAAATAACTGAATATTTGACGATGGTGGAACACGATCCACGATTTGAATGTCATGTTCGTAAATTTTCAAACAGTCCACAAATATGGTCACATGATTGGCTGTCAAGGTCACAGCCAGTTTGTGCCACCTATTGTCAGCTAGTCTGTATGGGAATGTTAAAACATAATGGTGTTGGTCATGTCTGTAGTGCACACGAATTTCATCTTGTTGGCCACTACTTTCAATCTCAAAAAACCTGCAAAAATTAAATCTCATTTATACAAAAAACTTAAAATAATCACATAAAATTATTTCAAAGACCGGTACCATATACAGGGTTATTTTCATCCTGTGTTATTTTTGCCCTTTCACACTTGCAAACAATTTTGCCCCATTTTAAATTCGCCCAGTAACAGTTCTGTTTAAGAAATTATACTGTGCTCCTTGAATTCGTCCCGTTTAAAATTCAACCACCTGTGAGTAGGGCGAAAGGGGCAAAAATAAAACAGGCAAAAATTTTCCTGTATACAGTACTCAAAAAGAGTGGTTAATATTCAGCCTATGAAAAAATTGCAAACTTTCTATCTGAAGTCCCTCACTTTGAAAAATGCAAGCTCGAGCAATAACCTTGTACAATGAAAGGTGGTATTTGTAAATTTTAGAATTAAAATTAATTTAAATGCATTCAATTCAGGTAGCTTGAAGTTAGATAAAGGCCTCTTATCAGACATTTATATATCAAGGTATATCTTTTTATTATGTTTTATTTATTTTTCCCCAAATATTAAATCTAAACATAAGGGTTTGGTAGACCACAAAACCATTTTTTGCTGACTTGTGGAATTTATTGCACTGTAACACTGCGATGCGACAGCTGTGGTTTTTTACTGTTGTACATTTTTTTGCACTTGAAGAGCCTGTCGTGTGCCAGTAATTATGGTACACTAAACAGCAGGCAACCCCTTGTCAAATTTCATCCCATTCACTATCATCATCTGAAAAAAAGCAATGGACCAACCAGAAAGCCAGTCTTGAAAGCCACACCACCAATCAAAATTGCACCGTGAAACTAGCTTACATGTTTTCTGAATGAAGATGATTCAAAAGGCAGTGAAGCCTAGCTTTTATAATTTGATACAGAGTAGAATATGTCTACAACTCCGGAAGCACTTTGGTGGCTGCAAAGTTAAAACATTAACACAGCCCAATTAAAATTTTGGTAAATGACCTCAGTTCTTCTTTCGAGTAGCAACAAATGCATAAATAGAATGTGAATTTTCATAGACAATTTTTTTTTTGGGGGGGGGGGGGTGGCTTATATGTCATTCATTTAGAAGCAAATCCTAAATTTTCTTCAAGAATCTAAATACAATGTGACTGAACATGAAAATGCCTTCCTTCATTTTGATCTCATAGTAGTCTAGATTAAAGATTTTTAACTAAAAAATGACAAGACCCATAGCTTGGAAAGAAAAATTATTTTCTTGAACCATCCTTCCATTACTTAATGTCAAAGAAGCAAATGGGAATAACTTAGCAGCTGATGTTGCAGATATGTAGGAATTTGCTTGTTTAAATGCTTTATCAAAGGTACAAATTTGTTTCTTTGGCTGTATTCCTGTTTATTTGATTAGAGTGATTAAGTTGACTTGGCAGAGACACAAATCTCATTGAATATCCTGCACCTCCAGTCTGCTTTAACAATCACCGATATTCAGTTTGGCTAGGAAAAGTATCAATTGCCAGAAAAAACAATCAAGTCAGATAAAATCGCGCCTCAGAACAATCTGACCGTAGGTTGATCACAGTGTCGGCACAGTTCCGTTCCAAAAGGTATATATATATAGGAGTTCTTATCGTTATACAAGATTAGCAATTAGAAAACATATAAGACGGAAAAAATGCTTTACAAGTCTGGCTTCCTATCAAGCAGGAGGCACACCTTTACCTGACCTGAAAGTTATAGCAGACAAAGAGATATGACCTGTTCCCTATCTTTTTATTTATAAAAAACACAGACAATAATCTTCGGAGTTCTTAAAAAAAAGATCAAGCTCTTGGTCTTTTTAAAATACTGCAGTCATTAGAGTTAAAACAACCTAAAATAAGAATGAGGAATAGAAAGAAAAAAAAATCCACAAGTTTTATCTTAGAAGCACACCCACATAGATTTGTCCAGTGATTAAATGTTTATTTTGGTGTCGAGAAAAAGCGAAAGGCAAGCCTATTTTTATGCTTGAGCCACATTTTTGGGGCAATGGAAATTAACACAGTTGACCTTGAAGGTCGATAATCCAGTCATGTGTTTGGAGGCCGGAAGTGCTGTGCATTCCTTAAACTGGAACACACAAAGACAAAACTATTCCAATTACATCTCTGTTTTAAATTTGAAATTTATTGAAGCAATTTTACTGCAACAAATGAAATCTTGGGCAAATTACAGTATGTAGCAATTGCCTATTTCAATAGAAGTCTATACTTCAGTTCTAAGCTAACATTTCAAGAAGAGCCTCTGAATTTGAAAAAAAAAAAAATTGAGATGAGCAATAAAATCTCAACGTCACATAATCTCTGATTTATATCAATATCACGAATCCAAGACTATTAGAAGACAAAAACCTATCATCGAATCTATCACACAAAAGCCACGGATACAGTAGATCTCCTACCAAGCTGTCTGACATAAATTAACCTCCTATACAAGAAACCCCCAACTCTCAATTAGGGACTCGATCTACCAGAGTGGGAATATACATCTCTAATATCAAGGAGAGGGTAGCTCAGCTTCAATGTTGATCAGAAAAAAAGATAGTTGTATTCAACTCCTTCAAAGTAATATTAGAAAGATTATAATTAAAAGACCAACTTGAAGGAGATTGAACTGCTATGGGGCAATGCCTGAACAAATTTTGAAGAAAAAAAATCTGTTAATTGCTTTTTTTTAAAAAAAAATTATGTTAATGAAGTGCATGTTTAACTTTACAGTCAAATCAATGATAACAATAAATGATTTAATTAATAATTATCTCTAATACATGTATAATCCATTTTTGACTCTGTACATCTTGGGCGACTTTAAAAAGTATTTCAAAGCAAACAGCATACAGTTGAACTTTGGTATCTTGAACATCAATATCTCAACCACCATGGATATGTCGAGGTGAATTGGAAGTCCCAACCCTTTTTCTTTTTGTTTTAATCTCAATATCCTTAATCCCTGGATATATCTCAATGTTTTTTCCTTGGCCTGATCAAGTTCAAGATAAGAGGTTTGACTGTATGAATTTTTCCCCACAATAATATTTTTTTACATTTAAAATTTTTTTGGACTTACAAGTTTGAATTTACACATACCTGTAAATATCTGAAGAAAAAGCTAAAATGCTACCAGAGTTTCCTATTTCCTGCTTCATGGTTGCTAAAAAAGTTAATTCACTATTGTCTTTAAAAATCCTTAAAGCTTTCCTCAACAAGTTATCTGAAACTGCTACGTTCCTACTGGAATCTGAAAATAGAGAAGAATTATGCATTAAAATGATATAATATTTATTTTATCAGGTGAACACTCTGAGTATAACTAATGTTGTAGCAATTAATTTCATAACCAGTACATTAATTTCATAACCAGTACATGCATTCAACAATATTATACTTTCATGTAAATTAGTTGAATCTGATTTGTCGAGAAACATTTGTTAAAAAACACTATTACACATGTACCCGCTGAATAATGAAGCCACGCCCACCAGCATAGCAACAGTTAACATTGCTTGACGACGGGTGTTATTCCAAAAAATATTGACTGCGCAGAATTCATGCGCGCAAGGTTCACTGTAATATGTATTTGTATAAAACATTCAGTATAATATAATAAATACTGCATGTAGTTGAGTGTAACATTGAAAATTTTCACCCCTCGAAAACCATTGTCAACCTCGGCTGCACCTCGGTTGACAATGGTTTTCTTGGGGTGAAAATTTTCAATGTTACACTCAACTACATGCAGTATTTATATACTAGCATATATCTAGAATTCTACAAGTCATATCACTGCTTCTGCTTCCACTATTTAAATGTCTATTTGCATTTTAGCTTTCAATTAAAATGCATTCTTTTTGATTTAGCTCCTTTGTCCTAGAGACTGCATCCTTCTACAGTGTGCAGTTTACTAATGTACATGTGTCACCTTCAAATACTGGACTACTAGTTTTCCTGAACTCATGGGCTTATTTCTGCTCCATTTCCAATGTTTTTTTTTTCTTTTTCCTTATTGCTAAATCATCAATTGCCAAACCACTGAAAATCATGCACATTCTTCCTTACAAAATCAGTTCTTTTTAAAAAGTTGCTCCTGTAATTTTTAAAACCTCATACTGACTTATACTAAAATTTAATCCCCCTGCCCTCCCTTTTCTCATATTTTATGCAGTGTAGGTAGGAGAATCATTCTTACAGTTTCCTGCACCCTCTTCCCTCTAAACTTGCTTAATCAGCCAATATGTAGATAATAATGGGCTGTTATCTTGAGCACTATTCTTGGCCCCTTTTCAATACAACACTGACTGCTCACAGGAGCAGGGAATGGGGGATCTGCTCCTTGAACATCTTATCTCTTCTCCACATACTTCATCATGCCCCAACATTAATTTTACACAAAATAAAATTTGATATCAATTGTGATAAGACAAAAATAATAGAATATCTCTCAAGGAAATTTGATTATCAAAGAAAAAATATCTTGGATTCATTGGATTTGAATGAAAATTTGGTGCCTACTTGTATATTAAAGTTCACATGACTTTGATAAAGCTTAAAGTTCATTACCAGAACTTTAACATTCAGGATAACATTTATATTTGAACTGTCATTTAAATTTAAATTAAAAAATATTAAATTTATATAAAAAAGAACAAACTGCTTCAGTTCAGGGGAAATAACTTTATCATGGAAAATCATATATGTACGCAAAATACGTAAATATTTTCTGATAAACCTCCTACACTAGTGGTCCATCAAGTAGGACACCATTTTGACAATTAAGAGCCAGCTATAATATAAACTGTGTTTGCTACAATACTTCTTATTTCGTCTTGCAGCTGAGAGACCTTCCAAGTGATATATATGATGGGACATAACAGAATACCAGGAACAAAGGTTATGGTAGGGTTGATGGTTCATTCTGGCTTTGATCTGACAAGAAACAGAGATGGAACTGCTTAACCTGCGGAGGTCCCTATGATAAATGCCGAAAAAATAAAGAGTATGTGTTATCAAATGTTACGTCAATGGGGCAAAAATCACAGAGCCATGGCAAAAGAACTCGTCTACCAATTCAACTAACCCTATACCCTTTTCTAAATATAATATTTTTTTTTATTTGTTCCACTTCAGAAGTTTGCTGTAGTGCATAATTTTTTTTTTGTGTCAAAATTAAATTGTCTTCCTCCATATAGAAAGTACACCTATGAAAGATATATATGAAACATGAATGATTATTTTAACCTCTCTGTCTTCCAACTGTTGAACTCTCTTTCATTTTTTCTTTATCTCACTCTCTCTTTAAAATCTCTCCAATACTTTCTCTCAATTATCAGATTATCTGAAGACTGCTTTGGACACTAAGTACAACTAACCTGACTGAAACCACCTACAACAGTACAGAGACAAGAACTCAAGGTTGCAAAAACAAATTTGATACAAGTAGACCTGGACAGAAATATCAAAGGTAATGTCAGAATCACTGAAGATAATGAGCAGATAATTTATGAATATTAGGAAACACCAAGGCCTCTTTCTATACCTCTGCAGTTATAGACACCTGCAGGGTGTTTAATACTGCAGTGCTTTCTTTTCTGCTGGCAATACCTTTTGGGCATCAACCAAATGCTCTAATTAAGGCAAAAACCACAAAAATGCATAACCAAGGAAACTAGCCCTTCCTAGAGAGTTCTGGAATCCAATGTACATCTTTAGAACAAGTTTACTTAGAGGAGAATTCTCACATCTTGTTATTATGAACATCAATAAAGCCATTCATGAAAGTTTATCATGAGATAGAGATTTAATTATAAATGTAAAACACTTTATATGTAAACACTATAAGTATGGAACAACAATACAGAAGGTGTAAAATTATTTTTGGAAAATAAAAATGTTAACATTATACACAAAATAGTGAATCTCATTAATTTTTACTTATATTTAAAAGTTAAAGAATATGAATAAGATTTGTTCATTAAATTTTTTTTTTTTTTATTTTGGTTTTAAATTTCAATATATGTAATTTTTTGATGTCATTTTGCCCTTTCAAAATGTCTGCTTTAAACCCAATCAATAAGAAAATCAACAGGATATTTGCTGATTTTAATTTTGTCTTTTTGTTAACTTACAACTCTCACTGGTACACACATACCACAAGAATTACATAGACATTTTGCTGACTTCTGACATTTTTTTCTTTCAATCAACATGAAGATAGAACAATGTTTACATATTGTGTAATTTCAATGATGTATTTCCTCAGATAAAACATTCAAGCATTTAGCCATAGCTCATGTCATCGACAGAAGACAAGTCACTGTAGCAATTTTTCCTAACCCAGTTAGTGAGCAGGTCATATCACTTTTTGCAGATCTAGGGATATTTCTGGGAGCAATATCTGGACATCTATACAGCATGTTGTTGTGTGCAGGTGCAGAATTGCCACCTACATCAATGTTCTATCAGAGCATCTGTCAGACAGCATCACAGTTAAAGGTATCAGCAAAGAAGCTGCATGTGTGAGGTGCATTCCTCTACAATTGGGGACTTTCTCCAACAATGCTTGCTATGTCCTTGAGACATAGCAAAAATCTGTCTCGTCCGGGATTGTTTTTCATGGCACTATCAGAAAATGCATGTTGGAAGCATGTTGCTTGTTTTATTATTGAATGGACATGTATCAGTCACCAGTAGAGGGTGAAATGTAGTGTCTGGCATACATAACCCTGTCCAACCAATCCCAAAGGGAACCATCCCAGACAACAATATATTACCAGCAATTATCATCATTAAGATCTTATCAACTCAAGTACAAGAAATAACCTATCTGACGACACTATGTCCACACAATGAAAGATGTTTAGAAATTGTAGATCATGGGTGATAATTACAAGGTATACTACCAGTATTTACATTTATTTCTATATGCTCCTCAAATTTGCCTCAATTCTCTTGGAGGGAGTGTTGTCACAGCCATATTTATTTGGAATGACAATTTCTCAAAATTATTTCAATTTCAAGATACGGATTTTCATTTGAGACTTCAGTCATGATTAATCTAAAGTCACATTAACTCAATATTACCCACTCTTCCATTTTTGTGTTCCCTTTGGACCCTATTCTCTTTAGAGAAGTGGACAGGCTTTTGCCTACTTTAGAGAAGTGGACAGGCTTTTGCCTACTTTAGAGAAGTGGACAGGCTTTCCCCTACATCCATGTAGGCGAAAGCCTGTCCACTTCTCTAGAGAGAATACTTTGGACCCATGATAAATTTAAACTTACATAGTACATGTTTCACAAAACTTGTTTAAACATCCTTATAAAATCTGTCCATGCATTTGGCTTTCTTTGATATAACAACTTGTCTGCTTTGAGGGCTCAGGTCATCCCTCCTCCATGTTAATGAAGGCTCAAACAATAGCTTTGCCAGAATCATCAATGTTGCTACAATAATCACCATGTTGTCTAATTGAAGAAAAACATTGGCAAAACATGCAAACTAATGGTAAATGAAAAAGGCTGAGTGTGTTCTCAATTTATGAATGAATTTCTTGCCATCTGCATAATCAGCAAGCTGCTCCTACTGCCTGAAATTCTAGCCTCAGCACACACAAAAAAGTTCTGGGTTAAAAATTCTCTGCTAATCTTTAAAGTATGAATGAATGAAAGAAATGGGATACAAGCTGATAATAAGCTAACAGCGGGACCTGCTCAGAGGCAGGCGCAGAGTTTAATTGCCTTGGACATTCATTCATAAACTAGATAATGACTTCAATTGAAAATATCTGCTTCCATGATTCCTTTCCTGAGATGCTTTAGCATATGCAATTTTGAGTTCAGAAACATAGGTAACTGAATATATTAATATCATCTTTTCAGATCAATTTAGATATTATCATTTACCTTCACTCCGAAAATCAAATTAATTCATCCTCTCATTTAAATTCAGACAAAATAAAAATATTATTTTCATCATAATCATTTATCATAAATAAGTTTTTTAAGATTTGGTAAATTCTCATTTAATCCAAATCTATTAATCCAATGATGCCTTCAGAAGAAAAAGGGTGTTAGGGTAAGACTACAAGTGAAGTCAAGTTCCCAATCTACTGTATTCTAAGATGGCATACCCCAAAGCTATATGTGTATGTCTACACACTTTTACATCACTATGGCAGCAGGCAAGACATCAGGTTCTTTCTATTTGTGTCAACAGATTAAGGATAAATTGTGGATGGAGAAAATTAATGCAAAGTATTTTCTTCATTCATAACTCCCCTGAACAAAAAAGTCTTTCAGCTGCTATGAGCATATTTTCAGCTGTTTGCAGATATCATAGATCCTTGTTAAATACCTCGCTCCTTAGGGACACACTCTAAGGGAAGCTTCCTGCTGAGCTGAGCATGTAAAGCAATACCAGACAAGCTGTGGTGAACTCACATGAACTTGCAGGAAGTGGGTCCCAGTATTGCACCTAAAACTGACCCCATCTAATGAAGCAGAAATTAAAGAATGTTCAAGGCAAGGAAGTCTTCATCACTCTCAACTCATTAGGTCTAAATCACTGTCCTTCAGTTTTGTATATCTTGATCAAAAGAGTTTAAAGACACAGTTTGTATAATGTATGGGAAACAAATTTCAATGTCAATTTAAAGCACAACTTTTTTTATTTCAAATTCTATGATTCATTCATTCAGTCTTACAGATGCTTGTAAAACACGTCAGTATTTGATTGTGCCAAAATAAATAAATAAATAAATAAATAAATAAAAATAAAAAAAATTGCTGAAATTAGATGAAGCACTTAAAATTGAGCAAATAGCTGATCTTTTTTTTTTTAAATTGTCCAATTCTGCATGTAACAGAGGAGTGTGGGTGAAAAACTTACTCCATGCATTAATTAAAGAACATTCCAGTGAAAATACAGATGTGAGGCAAGAGTCAGAAATGTGCTTATTCCCTAGCATAACACTTCAGAGTCAAATACTCATCATATTATGTTTTTAAATCATTCTTTACCCTTTCACAACAAGCAAATTTTAACTGAAGTTGACAGGGCAACTGACTTTAACACTGCGTATTACTTAAAAATATTGGAAGAAAATTGGTAGTTCATGTTGTTCACAAAAGCAACCTACAAGTTTTGTAATAGGTTTAAAGCAATACACATAAATAGGCATTAATTTTTCAAGATGGCTGAGATTGTTCAATAGTTCTTTAATTGTATATAAAATCTTTTAACCCTAAAAAATATATGATTTGATGACTATCTTTAGAGATATCTGCAAAAATCTGTACTCAAGAATTCATGTAATCAAGACTTTTGAGTGACTGAAAAATTGTGTTCAAAATAGAATGAATTTCAAAAAATGTGAGATATATCAAGTTATTTTAGTTTATTCTACAAGTTTAAAATAAACTCCAAACTCCACTTTTAAACAAACATTACAAAATGAGTATTTATGTGCATTCTGGTGCCTGAACAAGGCACAAAATTTCATCTTTTCTTCATATAGATTCTCTAATACTACCTCTGCTCAGCATTTTCATAATCACCTTTATGTATAATTAACAATTAGGTTTCTGAAATTGCATCTCCTGTACTTAATACAAAATCTTAAGAATTCAACAATATATTCCACTGTATTGTGGGTAATGTCAAACAATTAAACTGAATCCTAATGGAGAAAATGAAAAAGATATCCCTTGAAGTGAAGTTGAACAACAAAGAATGTGTTTATTATAACCCTATTCATGCCATTTGTTTCTTAAACCTCTACCCTACCGATCTTCAAATACTTTCAAAGATTGATGCTTTGCTTTCCACTCCATGCAGATTCATTGCTCAACATCTACCTATATATTGTACGTCCCATGATTTTTTTAACCTTACCTTGCAAATAAATGGCTGATGTGAGATTATTTTGCCCCGTGATGTTTGTAAATCCAGTGCGACTCTGAAGGTTCGAAATAAGGTCCAGAACATCTCTAGTGGAATCCACACAATCTGAAAAATACACAGACACTATTCTATTACATGTATCGTTTATATTATAATGTGACAATATCTTTCTAAATATTTGTGTTAAGCCTGAAAGGTAGATGAATTACATTAAAACTATGCTATAGTTTTCAATATTCCTCAAATGTATAACTTCAATAGCCTAATGGCTATGTAAAACACTGAGGATGGTCCTCGAAACAAAAGCATGTTTTATGTACGAACAATTTCTAAAATGGAGACAGGCTATTGACAAATAAGTTGATGATACAGGGATATCAACAATCTCATTAAATTCAACATTTCGGAAATTCTATGGTTATTACAAAGACTTTCTTTGCAAATATCAATCTGTCTAAGTTGATTATTGTTTTTCATATAAGTTGTTAGGTAATTATTTTCACACTGAATTGTCTACAGATTTTTTTCCATTTTCCCAAGGAGCATGCGGCAGGTGTGATCAGTTGACAGGGATTGCTTACTCCTCCATGGCATCTGATCCAACCTCTGTTGGCTCTGCTCCATAATTTGTATTGTTTAAAAGGACTTTTGAGAATGATCACTACTAGTATTCGTTATCTTCACATTTCAGACTGTAATGCTGCAGCCCTAGATAAAGTACCTGATAATATGATTTTGTATTTTCCAGATTACAAATAACTTAAATTGAACAGGGTAAGATGATCACTAAAGATCACTTAGAGTCAAGTCAAGATTGATCAAATGTTTTAACTAATGAAACAATGTGATTTTACATCAATTTCATCTGTTTTAGATCTTTTGGCTTAATGCAAATTTATACATGTTTGCAATAAAAATCTGTGTAACTGATTCTTTGAATCTAAGGCTTTTAATTTTTACTGGTCTCTATTATATCTCTACCAATCCAGTACTTTTGGAATGGAAACTTCAGAAAATGGTAAAGCAAAGTGTTCAGTCAGTCAGAATAGATGTGGAATATGCATTTAAAGCAAGGGAAACTAGGTCAGGTGAAGAAGCCAGGATATGATTTTAAACTAAAGCTGACCAGTTTGACTGCATTAATTTACTTGATGGGGGGATTTTTAGCAGAAATTGTACAGAATATCAGCTTTGATGGGAAGTCTAGTGACAAAAGCTGTCTTCTTTTCAAACATCAAAGCATTCTGGCCGTAATGACCACTGGTGTTTCTTCTATACTTGCAGCAGCAGATGCCAAACCTGTTAGCTAGATTCTTATTGATTGTTTTTAAGAATATGAATCATGCAAACAAATGTATACCAATATGAGTAAGTTCACTTTAACATATCGAGGACATCTAAAGAGTACTCATTTTACCCAAATTGATCTTCTGTCATTTCAATGACTCAATTTTGAAGAATATGAATCATAGAAAGCAACATAATTCATGTAATGCAAAACCGTTCTAATCCTATAAGGACTAAGTTACACTGAAGACGATGGGGTAACATAACACACTTCAACCTTTATTACCTTTCACTCTACCACTAAACATGTACATATAAGAATTCTTATGTTTCTGTCCAAACCCCGATACCTTCCCTCCCAGTGAATCATCCTCCTGTGTCAGTATATAGATACTCATACAAAGAATCCCTGTATGTATGATTAAAGCCCAGTGATCAAGTGCAAAGATATTATTGATGGGATATTTCATTTGCTTTCCTTCTATGATAAATGGTCTGGGATGGCATGGAGCAACATGTTGGATCATGCTTTTTGTCAGGTTTCTCAAAAATTATGCTTAATGTGCAATTTCTCATAATTCCACACATTTTTTTGAATAGAAGAAAAAAAAAATATGTAGAACAAAGCAGTCTTTTTCATAGCTGATCAGAGGTATAAAGTCTACATAAAATTGCAATTTACCATTTCTTTCAGTTACAACCATGCATGACTGGCAAAGTCAGACTAAAATATAGTTAATTATGTGAAAAAAACTTGCTATTGTTAGCATATGGATGGCCAATCAACAAGTTATCTTGTATTTTGGGGGGTTAAAATATAAAATTTGTTTAACCTCTGTATCCACATGTTGAAGAACAATAAATTAATTTTTAAAAAAAAAGGCTTTATAACCATAACATTAAGGCCATGCTATACTGCAAAATCAACTGAACCACCTGTTAGCCCACCTTGATAGTTGAATTTTCCAAACTCCCTTTACTTGTCAACATTTTTGTGGTCTTCACATTCTCTGCAGGGCATCCCAGGCATATTTTACAGTCTAGACAGACAACTTCTGCAGTATCTTTTCCATTATCAACCAAGATCTGGGAGTTACATAATCAGAAAGCCTGATTTTGAGTCTTGTTTATTTAGTCTTTTATTGCAGAAATAAGCAATTAGGCAAAATGCTTAACATTTTAAATGTCATCAAGGTATTTGATTTATCAATGGTTTTTATTTAGAAACTTTTAATGTCACAAAAAACCTTGGAACAGTTCACAATTAAAGAAAATCCTGCCATATGGCAAAATGAAACTTCTTTCAATAATAAAACCAGATTCTACTGTATCAGTCTGGGTTTGATCTTGCAATTATTCAAGGTCACTTGCTGAGACACACAAATGTAATTATTTCAAGATATCATCTCCTAATTCAAGAGCAGTGGTTGAACTTCTTTATTTTCTCATGCAATGCCCAATTGCTACAAAATGCTTCCCACATTTATTTATTAATGCTTGATTTCCAAGAGGTGTTTATTCTTTCAGAATTTCTCACCCGCTTAATTGGCACCCTATACAGAGAAGTGTTGTCTAGATTTCCAAAGGTCATTTTCTTATCAAATAATATTGTACCAAGTAAATTATTAGTTAATTGACCTGATGTAAAATAGTAGCTGGATGCAAAATAAACCTCTTAAAAAGAGATCTTCCTTTATATCTTCCACTTAAGAAAGATATCAAAATAATAAACTTAAGAAGGATCCAAATTTAAAGCAAAATCAGTCAAGAGGCCAATTACCAAGTAGCAAATAAAATCTCAAAAGTTGCATTGGGATACATGTGTTGTTTATATTTTATTGCATTAGCCACAAATCTTTTTTTTTCAATGAAACATGTTCACAAATGCTGACCCAAAAGCTGGATACAAATTTTAGAGTCAATGAACTTTTGGCCTATTATATCATCATCTGGATGTGACCTTAGTGTGCAATGTTGGGCAGGGTAACTCACATATCACAAAGCAATGACAATAAACAATGCAGCCAATTTACCCCAGCATACATCAACAGATAATCCACAGTCTGTTAATCACTGCTAATCCTTGCCAGTAATCCTTGCCATGTTTCTGATGAAAGCATCTTTCCCATAGTGAGATTCCCAGACACATTAGGGCTCATTAAACTGTGATTAAAGTAATTGTTTGGGAAATGAATAGCTCTTCTGTTGCAGGAAAACACATGCTGTAGGCATGTTAATCTACCTTAAGCATGTTAATCTGCTTCAGACACAGAGTAATCAGTTTGGCTTTCTCTAAGGTGAGTGTTTCATCCATTCAACTTATGAGGTCTTCATTCCTTGACCTTATTGACACATAAGCTAGCTCATTCACAACTACTAGAGGAACTTATTTCTTGTATATAGCCACTTGAATAGAGAAGGAAAGGGAAGATGATGTTGGTAGGTATTTTGCATTTCTTTTAATGACAAACACTTGAGAGCAATAAAGTTTTCACATTTGCAAAATACCATTTTTTATGGATACATAAATTTTCTCAAATTTTGATGATGGTTTTATGATGTCCAGAATGCAGGAAAAAAACTTTTGAAATAATCCAAGTGAAAAAGACAGTAGTTTGATTACGTTTTAAAGATCAAATTCCCAAGCAGGGACCTCCTACTCACTCATTTTTGAGTGAGCACAACACAGCAATTTAGAACAAAGATCTACAAATTGCATATTCTCATTATAGCAAATGCCACAGACCTATTAAAATCAGTTTTTAAGAAAAAATAAAACTTTGGAGTAAGAAATGTTTTGAAACAACAACTACATGTAATGACAAATTACACACATATGTATTTCCCAAACTTGAACAATTAATCGCTTAATTAATGTTTCTTTTTCCCCGATTCTATCTCAGATGCACAATACTCCAAAAACTGCAAATGTACACAATACTACCCAAGACAGCAAACTGTTAGTGTTCAAAGATCAGAAAGAGCAAGGATTTCCTCTTGTATATAAATAATCAAATGAAATATTGGCAAAATACAACATTGTATGAATGTATATCATATTTGATCACATTTTCACATATACAAAACCCTGGTTTAACATGCTCTGAGATGTCAAAACAAATAATATTCTAGGTCTGTTTACCTTAAGGAAAGATTCAATTTATTTATACACTGTTAAGATGGGGAATATGATAAAAACAGAACATCAGTTTTCTTATCCCTTTTCTTCATTGTTAATGATTTTTTCCCCTAGGATAATATTTCCCTCTTTAAATCTAAAGGGCATTCCCAGGCACCAATTTTCAATTAATGAACAAAACTGTTAGGGAGTATAGGCATTGGAACAGAGAAAATAATTACTCCTTTTCTCAAGTTTTTTTTTTTTTTTTTTTTTTGGCTTGTTGGTGAGGATACTGAAAGAAGGGAAGGCCATTAGATCTCTATGCTTGGCACCATTTTGACAAGAAATCAGACCACTTAACTATGATGACCTATCAACATATCGGCTGTAGTTTCATGCTTCAAGAAACCAACTCTAATAAAAACCTTGTTACTTTAACGGAAACACTTGGAAAAAAACAATTACAACATCACAAAAAAGCATTACCAAGAAAAGAAACATCAATTGGATAGATTATCGTATATCAATAAATTTCACAACACAGAAATCATTTGTTAGCTTTAATTTATTTCTGCTTCATTGAAAAAAAAAAAAACCCACAATACTTTGCTTTTCAGTACTGTCTGATTTCTTATAAAAATGTTAAGAACTTAGACTTGTCTAGATATAAAAATAAATATGAAGATAAGCAGAAATG